TCTGATGTGCAGCTGTGTGAATGAGGAAATATAACAAAGGAAGGTATTTTTGGTTTAGTGCACTATAAATAAAATAGTTCATTGATGGATTAGGAATATTCCAAAAGGCTCAAATAACTGTATTTATTAAATAAAACAAATACTAGTAAATCAAAAAAAGGTTATAATCCAACACCACAGTATAAAAGACACAAACAATACCCGAGAATGAACTGAATGCAAGGAGGAACTTAAGTATGCAATGCAGTGTTAATTTTGGCAGCCGTTTTTGATTTAGTCTAGTCTTCATCTTCAGATGAAAATGCTATTGGTCTTGGTCACATTTCAGTCATTTTGTTTTTCTTAGTTTTAGTCTAGTTTTAGTTGACGAAAAGTCATTGCATTTTTTGTCAACTTTTTGTCATTACTTTTAGTCAAACTGCAGTTACCGACATTCATTTTGGTAGCTATTTATATGTAGTCTTTAGACAAAAAGATTTTATTTTAAATTTTCGCTCGAGGCCAATTCAATTAAGGTAACAGGCTATGTTGACATTGCACTCTTTAGCAGTAGCACTTGTGCAATTCAACATATCCCTTTTCCTTAGTGGTTTTCCAAAAATGGTTTAATTGTCCCCCGTTCCCCCTGAGGCATTTAACTTTCTGCATACCCCCTCTCTTCCACTTAGGCTGCAGTCACCTTTTCCATTAAGGGACGAAACTGCTCCCTTTAATCGAGTTTCCAGCATATTTTTTGTACCTAGTGACAGTGAATCTGTCAGCAGTCCGTCTAGATTAATAATTAATAAACTCCCCTCCCATTTGCTGCTGTCGTTCATCGCCGAGGTATATGAGTCTGAACCAGAGTACAGCAATACATCTCTGCAGAGTACAAGGCGAAGGAAATTACAAATAAAAATAAAAAGCCAATAATCAGAAAAATGAATCCCCGCAATCAGCCCCAAGGTGCCTGGAATTCATCTGAGAAATCAGGAATGCTGCAGCCTACACCACCATCAGCAGCATACCAGGACATTCCTGCTGGATACCCTCAATCCTTTCCAAGCCAGCCAGTGCCCCAGGGCCCCTATGCCCAGGGCCCCTATGCCCAAGGGCCATATCCAGGGCAATCCGTGGTCGCCGTGCAGCCTACAGTTTTTGTGACCACCGCTCCACTGGCCGATCCAGAGCCAGATTACCTGTGTTATTCCATCTTTACCATGCTGTGCTGCTGCTTTCCTCTGGGCATCGCTGCACTGGTTTTCTCCAGCTCCGTAAGTATTAGTCCATGTTATTTCCTTTTATTATGAACTTTAATTACTTAAGTCTTTATATAAGGATAATTAAAGATTACATCACATTAAAAAATCTACAAAAATGAGGTTCATGTGATAGAGAAGTCAAAATATTTAGGCATGTCTTTACCATGTTTACATTTTAGTAGTGTCACGACACACACGGGACAGAAGATCCAATAGCAGCAGTTTATTAATATAAGGGTAATCCAAATCGTAGTCTTCCAGGCAAGGGTCAAAAACCAAATTATCAAACCAAACATGAAAACAAAACACAAACCAACAAGAAAACCGACCAAGGAAGTGGTGACATCTAACAACGACTCCGTACACATACTAACACAAACAGGGAATATATACACAGATCTAACAAGACTAACAATGACCAGCTGGGAACAATGATGACGGGGAACAGCTGAGTGCAATGAACTGCTGAGTGACAGTGACAGACAGAATGCTGGGAAATGAAGTCAATAGTGAAGGACACCGTGATAACGAGGACCTCTAGTGACAAACAAGGGAACACAACCAGACACTGTGACATAACCCCCCCTCTACGGAGCGGCTACCAGACGCTCCAAGACATAGTACAAGATAACACAAAACTTCCGGAGGGAGGTGGAACGGTGGAGGATCAGGGGGAGGGATGGTGGGCCAGGTCCATGAAGGGAAACAGGAACAGGGGGTGAGGGTTTAACCGGGGACCAGGGCGAAACAGAGAGTCCATCGGCCGACCAGGGCGAAGCAAACAGTCCACCAGATGGCCAGGGCGGTGAAGACCCTTCGGGCGGCCAGGGCGGTGAAGACCCTTCGGGCGGCCAGGGCGGTGAAGACCCTTCGGGCGGCCAGGGCGGTGAAGACCCCTCGGGCGGCCAGGGCGGTGAGGACCCCTCGGGCGGCCAGGGCGGAGACGGCCCATCGGGCGGCCAGGGCGGTGAAGACCCCTCGAGCGGCCAGGGCGGTGGAACAGGAGCAACCACCGGCTCGGGAACTGCAGCAGGCACCGGCTCGGGAACTGCAGCAGGCACCGGCTCGGGAACTGCAGCAGGCACCGGCTCGGGAACTGCAGCAGGCACCGGCTCGGGAACTGCAGCAGGCACCGGCTCGGGAGCAGCAGCAGGCACCGGCTCGGGAGCAGCAGCAGGCACCGGCTCGGGAGCAGCAGCAGGCACCGGCTCGGGAGCAGCAGCAGGCACCGGCTCGGGAGCAGCAGCAGGCACCGGCTCGGGAGCAGCAGCAGGCACCGGCTCGGGAGCAGCAGCAGGCACCGGCTCGGGAGCAGCAGCAGGCACCGGCTCGGGAGCAGCAGCAGGCACCGGCTCGGGAGCAGCAGCAGGCACCGGCTCGGGAGCAGCAGCAGGCACCGGCTCGGGAGCAGCAGCAGGCACCGGCTCGGGAGCAGCAGCAGGCACCGGCTCGGGAGCAGCAGCAGACACCGGCTCGGGAGCAGCAGCAGACACCGGCTCGGGAACAGACACCGGCTCGGGAACAGACACTAGAACAAACACAGTCACAAAGACAGACACAAACACAGACACAAAAACTGGGTCAGGCTCAGGAACAGGCACTGGCTCTGCCTCCGGCTCTGGAACAGGCATTGGCTCTGCCTCTGGAACAGGCAATGGCTCTGCCTCTGGAACAGGCAATGGCTCTGCCTCTGGAACAGGCAATGGCTCTGCCTCTGGAACAGGCAATGGCTCTGCCTCTGGAACAGGCAATGGCTCTGCCTCTGGAACAGGCAATGGCTCTGCCTCTGGAACAGGCAATGGCTCTGCCTCTGGAACAGGCAATGGCTCTGCCTCTGGAACAGGCAATGGCTCTGCCTCTGGAACAGGCAATGGCTCTGCCTCTGGAACAGGCAATGGCTCTGCCTCTGGAACAGGCAATGGCTCTGCCTCTGGAACAGGCAATGGCTCTGCCTCTGGAACAGGCAATGGCTCTGCCTCTGGAACAGGCAATGGCTCTGCCTCTGGAACAGGCAATGGCTCTGCCTCTGGAACAGGCAATGGCTCTGCCTCTGGAACAGGCAATGGCTCTGCCTCTGGAACAGGCAATGGCTCTGCCTCTGGAACAGGCAATGGCTCTGCCTCTGGAACAGGCAATGGCTCTGCCTCTGGAACAGGCAATGGCTCTGCCTCTGGAACAGGCAATGGCTCTGCCTCTGGAACAGGCAATGGCTCTGCCTCTGGAACAGGCAATGGCTCTGCCTCTGGAACAGGCAATGGCTCTGCCTCCGGCTCATGAACGGGCTCTGGAACAGCAGACACTGGCTCCATCTCTGGAACAGGAGACACTGGCTCCGGCTCTGGAACAGCAGTCACGGGCATGTCCAGGATCCGTGCCAGACGCTCCAGATAGTCCAGGTCCATGAAGGCAGACGGAACGTGAACAGTCCCTGACTGGGCAGACGAAACGTGAACAGTCTCTGACTGGGCAGACGGGACGTGAACAGTCTCTGACTGGGCAGACGGGACGTGAACAGTCTCTGACTGGGCAGACGGAACGTGAACAGTCTCTGACTGGGCAGACGGGACGTGTCTCTTCCTTCTTCTCCGGACCCCCGGACTCGGGACCACCGGAACCGGGATTGTCTCCCGACTACATCCTCCTCTGTGACCTCCACGGGTCCCGCAAAACTTGACCAACCGGGTCCCCTTAAAAAATTCCCTTCTCTCCCGCTCGGTGGCTGGGGAAGAGATATCAAAAAACATACCGCTGGATCAGAGTTGACGGAGTCGTTCTGTCACGACACACACGGGACAGAAGATCCAATAGCAGCAGTTTATTAATATAAGGGTAATCCAAATCGTAGTCTTCCAGGCAAGGGTCAAAAACCAAATTATCAAACCAAACATGAAAACAAAACACAAACCAACAAGAAAACCGACCAAGGAAGTGGTGACATCTAACAACGACTCCGTACACATACTAACACAAACAGGGAATATATACACAGATCTAACAAGACTAACAATGACCAGCTGGGAACAATGATGACGGGGAACAGCTGAGTGCAATGAACTGCTGAGTGACAGTGACAGACAGAATGCTGGGAAATGAAGTCAATAGTGAAGGACACCGTGATAACGAGGACCTCTAGTGACAAACAAGGGAACACAACCAGACACTGTGCCAAGTAGGGGTGTAGCGGTATACACAAAATTTAGGGTTCAGTACGTACTTTGCTAAAATACTTCCAGTCAGGTCTTGACCGCATTCCATATCACTTCGCCAAATGATTTCAGTTATTTCAAAGGTCTTTACAGCATTAAAGAGGAAGGGATAATCGCGTTCACTCGCGCTCCGCTGCTGCTTCAACTGAGGCGTCTATACAGCGATCTGCCACACCACATTAAAGGCCGTAAAAACAGCATTTTGTTGTTGAAATTTCGTGAACAAATGGACAGAATTTGAGAGATGAGACTTTTTTTCTATACTAATAATCTTCTGTCCACAATTCTCTTACTCTGCAAAAGCAAAAGAACGGGGTTAGATATGATAACATTGCCATCACACATAGGCTATACTGGAAAGTCAAATGAATTTGCTTTACATTAAACATGCATAGGCCTATATTATGTTAATATGTGAAAAACTATACCTACAAGCCAATCTTTTTCAACACAGGTGTAGTTTGCTAACAACTGTGATTTCGGATGACTGCATCAGCTAAGCTTAAATATTTAATTCAAGAAACTACTAAAGACACATTTTTTTGTCAACAATTAACCCATTAATACCAACACTTACTATTCTATTCTATTTGGATAAAAGCATCTGCTAAATGATTAACTTTATCAATGTGCATAATAAAAGTACATTAGCAAATGTTATCCAAAAACTTAATTGCATTCAGGAAAGCTATAATATAAATCAAGTGGAAACTTGTTAAATTAACTTTATGAAGTTACCATGTTTTTGAAGGGCAGAAACACATGAAACCAGTCTTGATCCATTCAACTAAATGGCTTAATAATTTAACAGGCTATTGTATCACTTACCTTAGTTTAACCTCCTTCCTTAATGTTTTAGTTCACTCAAAAATTAAAATTATCCCATAATTTACTTACCTTCAAGCCATCTTCAAGCCATTTAAGGTGTAAATTCTTATTTCAGCCAAACACAATCAGCCAAACACGAGAGTTATTCCCAGCTTTATAATGAGAGTAAATGGTACCTTAGATTTTGAAGCCCAAAAAAGGCGCATCCATCCATCATAAAAGTAATCCGTACGGCTCCACGGGGTTACAAAGTCTTGATTTAGTTTAGGGAGCTCTACTTCCTGCTCAGCTACTTTTTGGACGCTCTAGCTTACTGCTCCGCGCTTTGCTCTATCGCTTTTATATTTTTATATTTTATCTCCTTCTATCACCTAATTTTAACTTCAGCCAATCTTAATTTTTTTTTGAGCACTCAGATCAGTTTAATGAAAGATTTCTGGCAACCTTTAAGATTTGCATCAAGATAAACATCAAATTGTTAAATTAAATGTTTAAAACGTATACATTTGATGGCATTATGTTGGTGTGACTTGGTTTTAATAAATAAACATAATTTTGTTTGCTTGTTAAAGTAGATAGTGTTTCACCTTATTTGAGAATTCCTCCCTGTGCCATTGGCTCATAGAAATTCAGAATGTGAGCAGAAGTGGTTAACATTATGTTTTACTATTGTTTTCACAGACTCGAAATGCCAACTACTCAGGACAGCAAGCATTAGCAGAGAGGAACTCCAAAACGGCACGCACCCTGAATCATGTCGCCGTTGCTATGGGGCTTGTTGTCACTGTATTGGTGATTGTCTACGTGGTTATGGTTTATAAGAATTACAACCATTAGAGGTGTCATGTTTGGATGCAGATTACAAATAGATTTGGTTCTCTGCATTTTAAATGTTATTTGCTCAATGAAACATTGTACTTAAAACATATGCCGATTATGGTATGTTTAAAACAATGTAAGCTTTCATTGGCCAATTAAATTTTATCATGAAAAACAGTACTTTTTATACACTTGTCTGTCTGTTATGTTTTTATTTATTACTGTGCATATTTTTTTAAGAAACTGTTATTTAGAGGTAAGAGTGGTATTAGCGGCTCAAAATATATTTGTACTTCTATAATGTTACTAAAATTGTAATTTTTCTTACACATTCTGTCCATTACATTTCATATTATTTGATATCCTCTATAAATTGGTTATGTTTGGGTTTGGGGGTAGGGTTAAGGGATCTAAAATGTATTTATTTTGATTTATTTTACTTTTTTTTGTTGCTGTAAATGTCTAATGTTTACATTAAAAGGTTGTCAATGCGTCCATATTGTACGTTTCAAATCTATCCAAACGTACAAATTAGGGCTGTCAAATGATTAATCACGATTAATCACATCCAAAATAAAAGTTTTTTTTACATAATATATGTGGGTGCACTCTGTATAATTATTTTGTATATATATAAATACACACACATGCATGTATATTTAAGAAAAAAATATAATTTATATATAAAATATTTATATTTATATATAATATAAATTATATATAAATCTATATACAGTATATACATGAAAATATTTCTTAAATATATACAAGCATGTGTGTGTATTTATATATATAAAATAATTATACACAATGCACCCACATATATTATGTAAAAAAAACTTTTATTTTGGATGTGATTAATCACGATTAATCATTTGACAGCCCTAGTACAAATATTTAAGTTCTCTTTCTAACATTCGTTCGGTATCTCACTATGGGAACGCCTCTGGACGTGACCGATCGCGGAAGCACCAATTTACACCACGTCTGCCAACCGCGGCAGACCAATCGCAGTAGCGATCAGGGAGTCCCTGCTCCCTGTATATAACTGCAGCTACCTGCCGTTTCGTCATTTCTCGCTCTCGTGGAAGATTTTGGAAGCTGTCCTCAGCAGACTTTGGGAACTATTTGCTTAACAGTTTTCAGACGGGGCCGATAAGTAACGCAATATATTCCTTAGGTTCACGAGTTCACACTTACAAATAAGTCAGATAGAATAGATGGTATGCATATTTGGCGTGCTGTCTGAGGAGAGGGCTCCGGGCTCTGTATTTGGCCCAAACCTCCAAACCTATATGCTTCCTCTCATGCTGATGGGATAGTCATGATGATTGTTGATGACAAGTTAATTAGAATTGATTATTTGAAGGGTTCTGAGGGTTACCCTCAGCCTTCTGAGGGTAATCCGTGCGGTTTTGTCGCAAAAATATACATATTTAAAACTTTATAAATGAAAATATCTGACTTCCGGCAACGATCGACGCGCGTTCACGGATGGAAGTCGGCGTACGAGGTAGGACCTAGGACGTAGGGTAGGAACCGTCGTGACGTAGAACGAACGCGCCAGCGCAGCCAGAGAGCAAAACAAAACACTTCCATCCGTGAACGCGCGTCGATCGTTGCCGGAAGTCAGATATTTTCATTTAAATATGTATATTTTTACGACAAAACTGCACGGATTACCCTCAGAAGGCCTTCGTTTATCCCCCTGGAGCCGGATGGATTACTTTTGTGAAGGATGTATGCACATTTTGGGACTTGAAGGAGGTGGACCCCATTGCTTCACATTATATCCACTGAAGGGTCTAAACCATTTTCTAAAATAACTGAAAATGTGTTCGTCTGAAACAAGATTGACATGTGCATCTCGAACGGCTTGAGGGTGAGTAATGCATGGGTTAAATATCATTTTTGGCCGAACTATCCCTTTAAGAGTGAGATAACTAACATGTCAAGATGAGTTTTCCTGCTCTTATTTTTTTTTTACTCATTTTCCAAGTTTTTCTGGGCGCTCACCACGCACCAAAAAAAACCCAAGGAAACCGATAGCTCTCAAATTCCAGCACAGCTCCGTACCAGTTGTCACGTTGGGTGAAAACTCACCGTACAAAGAGAGTGCAAGCTCCATCATGGCCACCACGATTGAACCGGAGAGCCCCGGAGGAAAAGGTCGTCCTCCACATCCGTGTGCACAAGGCCTCTGCATCTCCTGTCTGGGCGCTAAACACGCTCAGGCAGCGCTGTCCAACCCCGAGGGCAGCCCGCACTGCGCGACGTTCTCGACTAAGACCCGAGAAAGGAGGCTCCGTGTGGCAGTCGGTGGCAATTCGGACCCATGCCTCTCTGCTCAACCCAGAGAGGAATCCATGGATTGTCCTTAGACCACCAGCTCATGGACAGAGATGATGGAGAAGGTGTCACCCGTCCTTCCCCCGCTGTTTGATGATCCGTTAGTGGGAGAGGAAGATGACGATGATGAGATGATGTCGAACATCCTCGAGGACGACGACGATGAAGATGCCATTCTTCCCCCAAACCAGTCCAGGGCGCCGAGTGCACAGGATGAGAGTTCACCCTCCCCTGTACAGATGGACTCAGATCTAATCGAAGTCTGTCGCAGGGCTAGATTGTCGATCGACTGGCCATCCCAAAAAGCAGGTCAAGGGGCTGAAAGAGACCTGTATGATGGAAAGAGACTTCCGTCACGTCTTTGAACCCCAAGATTTGAACCTGCGCATGTCCCGTGCCACAAACACAGATCGGCTGCCACCCAGGGGAATAAGAAGAGGCGGTTGACCTGATACATCAGTTCGGCATCAGGAAGGGTTGGGAGAAGGCACCCAGGGTTTCTCTGTCCCATCCCTTCAGAACGATTCCTCCTTCCCTCTCGCAGGGAAAAGGAAAAGGAATTCAGAGGTGAAATGTGTTTGTGTGGACAGTTCAGAGTCCAATGTGTGCGGGAATGTGGCCAATGCCCCCAAGAGATCGTATCCCCCTCCACCTTCGAGGTCTGTTACGAGGGAAGAAGGTCTAACGTTCACAAGCATCCCTTCAAACATAAAGTTTCCTCTGACGCATCCAGGTCAAAGACCGAGAGCGCAGAGTGTGATAAAAAGAGAAAAAGATCATAAAAGATTAAAACAATCACAAATAAAGACCAATATAACTCCTTCACTGGAGCGGTCTTCCCAAAGGGGAAGCAGCTCTGGTTTTAGAGGAAGAAATAGCCTCTTTAATGAGAAAGGGAGTGATAAGAGTGATTCCAACGGAAGAGAGCCACAAGGGTTTCTATTCTCGTTATTTTGTGATTCCCAAGAGAGGGGGGAGGTCTCCGTCCCATTCTGGATTTGCGGGTCCTCAACAGACACCTCAGAAAGTACAAATTCAAAATGCTGTCTATCAGAACGTTTTGTCAAAAATTCGGCAAGGAGACTGGTTCACCTCGGTGGATCTCCAGGACGCATATTTTCACATAGATATTTTTCCTGCGCACAGGAAATATCTGAGGTCCGCCTATCAGGGCACAGTATACGATATATACAGTATACCATTTGGCCTAGTTTTAGCCCCTCGGGTATTCAGCAAGTGTGTAGAAGGAGCCCTGACTCCGTTGTGGAGATTAGGGGTCAGGGTTTCATCATATCTGGACGATCTGCTCATCTGCGCGCCGTGCCTACGGCAGGCGGAGAGCAATACACACACACTAGTGACGCATCTGGAGAGATTAGGTTTCAAGATAAACCAAACGAAGAGTTGTCTGTCTCGGGAAATTGTCTACTTGGGTCTCAGGTTGAATTCTGTGACATTTCAAGCTTTCTTATCAGAGGATTCTTTCTTCTTTCTTTCTTTATTATTTGTCTCAAACAATCAACATAGATTCACAACAAACAAAACAATAATTAAAACCACAAAGTAAAACACAACCACCAATATATATATATATATATATATATATATATAAATAATAATAATACCAAAAAAATAAAAATTAGTTTGAGAAGGAGCAGGCAGAAGCAATTAGATTAGATTTAAACCTGCCCCTATTTAACAAAAATAATAATATTACAAAGCAAATAAATACGCAGTTACAGCATACATTTTTCTCAGATCTTACTCACAACAATACCTTAACCACAATACTTTCACATTGCAGATTTAGTCCTGTGTTTCAGTCTATGCTTATCTATACGGGTCCAATAATGATTTCTTTCATCTATTTTTGAACGAATTATATTATGGCTCTGTTTGATGTCATTATCCAGTCCATTCCATATGGTTACCCCACAAACTGATATACCGGTACACATATTTTTAATAGCAGTTCGCACAAGAGGTTGTTTGAGCATACAATATCCTCTTAGATGATACCCCCCCCCCCCCCCCCCCCCTCTCTTTCATTAAACATTGCACTTATGTTACCTGGTAAATTATTTTCTTTGACTTTAAACATAAATTAAGCAGTTTTAAATGTAACAATGTCCATAAATTTTAGCAAATGTGAATTAAAAAACAAAAGATTAGTGTGCTCATAATACCCAGATTTATTATCCTGATTGCTCTTTTTTTGTAGTGTGCAAATATTTTGTAAATTACTTTTATAGGTATTTCCCCAAACTTCCACACAGTATATATGGCAAAATAAGTGTGCAGTACATAGTATGTAAAGTATTTTTGTTCAATATGTATCTGGTTTTACTCAATATACCAATAATCCTGGCCATCTTCATGCACAAATTTTTGATGTGGGGCTTCCAGCACAATTTATGGTCAAGTACAACACCCAAAAATTTACATTCATAAACTCTTTCAATTATTTGGTTATCAGTTACCAGTCTAACATCTGTATTTATATTACGATTCCCAAATACCATAAATTTTGGTTTGTTCAAGTTGATTCATTTCGATTGTTACCACTTCCATCATCTGTTGCAGATTGTCCCCGCAACATAAAACATTTGTATCATCAGCAAAAACAGTAAATTTAAGTACATTTGATACTTTGAAAATATCATTTAGATAAAGAATAAACAGTTTGGGGCCTAAAACTGATCCCTGTGGGACACCACAGGAAATACTGAGGCTTACTGACCAGT